ATCTTCGGGGTGGGGGAGAAGGTCTGAAAGTAGTCAACCCCCTGCCGCTGACTGAAGCCACGAGCCACGTAACGCGCCTTGAAGACAGGCGGAGAACCCGGCGGCCGCTTCACCCTGAAAATCCACATGCCACTGACTATGTTCGCCCCAGGAGGGGGAACAGCGTCAACGTAGGTGCGTGTGGACTTCCAGGAAGCCATCTCTGCATCCATAGCTGCCTGCCACTGAGAGGAGTAGGGACCCTCTATCGCCTCCGCGTAAGAGCGCGGAGTCGGGATGTCTGGTGCATCCGGGTCTCCCTCAGGGGCTAGCAGTACAGACGCGAGATGAGGTGAAGCGGCGGCCAGACACTGGAACTCCTCCTGCCTGTCCTCAAGGACGTCCGTGCCAAGGGCACACTCACCCCCGACGGACGGAGGACAGGCAGACTCAGACTCAGCGACAAGACTAGCAGCGTAGTCTAGACGACAGCGCGCAGCAAAGTCGACGAGCTCAGTGACAAGGGCAGACGCAGCAGAAGACTCAAAAGAAGGGTCAGTGACAGCAGTAGCAAGAAGACGCGTGACAGTAGGACTGGCAGCACGAAGAGAGTCCGACTCCGGGTCGGCAAGAGCAGGAAGAGAGGAAGCAGGAGGAGAAGGCAAAGGGGCACGCAGGGGAGCAGTAGACGGACGCAGAGACATCCGGTGCGTGCCAGGGACAGGAGGAGGACGCTGACGCGAACCGCGACCACTAGCGGGCGCAGTACGAACAGGCAACGCAGGACTAGACGCAGGCTCACGACGCTCAGTAAGACCTCCACTCGGACCAGCGTAGGGAGAAGGAGCAGGCAAAGGGGAGGCAGGCTGTAGCTGTGACTGTGACGAGACAGGCTGTGGACCCTCTAAGGGAGGAGGGGGAGGACGAAGAACCTGCTGCAGGAGCGGAACGAAGTACGGTCGGGGCCGCGCGGCGACGCCAGAAACAGGAGGGACAGTACCAGTACCCCCAGCAGGAGTACCCGCTCCAGCAGCACCTCCAACAACACCTCCAGTAGCTCCAGAACCTCCAGCAGCACCACCAGGAGCACTGCCAGTCGGACCGCCAGCGGCAGTCTCAGTGCCAACACCCTCAGCAGCACCAGCTCCAGGAGAACCCTCAGACCCAGCAGCTCCAGCACCCACGGTACGAGCACCTCCAGGACGCTCGGCAGCAGTACCCTCTGCAGCCGAAGAACCTCCAGTACCAGCAGCACGCCTCCAGCGCCGGGCAAACCACTCACGCAGCTCCTGTGGGGAAAGTGGCTCTCGGCGAGACGAAGCACCTCCAGGCGCAGCACCCCCAGTCTCAGCACCCCTAGGCTCAGCACCCCCACGCTCAGCACCCCCAGGCTCAGCACCCCCAGTCTCAGCACCCCCAGGCTCAGCACCCCCAGGCTCAGCACCCCCAGGCTCAGCACCCCCAGACTCCGCACCCCCAGGCTCAGCACCCTCACGCGTAGCACCTCCAGTCCCAGCACCCCCAGGTTCATCTCCCGCAGCAGCACCAGAGTCACCAGTGACCTCGACATGCTCGACCGCGTCTACCTGGGACACACCTGAAGGGGCGGGACCCTGAGGGGAGAGGGGGTCTACCGGGGGGGGACCTGGTACTAAGAAGAGCGGGGGCGGGGGGAGGGACGGAGTGCGGTAGGGGAAGAGGCGGTAGTAGGGTACCGACTCGTCGAACGTGACGTCCTGGGAGGACAGAACACGTCGAGAGGTGGGGTGGTAGAACTGCCACCCAGGGGCGTCGGGGGGGAACCCTAGGAAGACGCAGGGAGCAGCGCGAGGGGACAGCTTGTCCGCAGACAAGTCGCGGACAAACGCCCGAGATCCCCAGACCCGGAACGCCGATGCATCGCCAACCTTCCTCTACAGCAGGGCTGGGGAGGTCTCCGGCCTGGAGACCCTGGGGTGGAGGTTGATCTGATGCGCTGCGTACCTGACCGCAAACGGCCACAGAAAATGGGGGGCAGCCGCATGCATCATGGACGTACGAGCGACGTCCATGACCATGCCAATGCGGCGCTCTGCAATCCCATTTTTCTGCGGGGAGTCCGGAATCGTGAAGGTCTGGCGGATGCCTCGCGCACGACAGTAGGCACGCAGAAGGCCAGAGGAGAACTCTCCGCCTCTGTCCGAGTGCAAACGCAACACAGGAAAGTCCGAGCCAAAGCTCTGCCTGAGCTGGAGACGAGCTGCGCGGATCCAATCGATCAGCACCTCATTGACATCACCCTTGCTGCGCAAGGGGAAGACTGTGGTGTAACGCGAGTAGTCGTCAACCACCAGCAGAAAGTAGCGCTCGTGACCGAGTCCACGGACGCGGGCAGGGCCCCACACGTCCATGTGAAGCGTCTGCAACGGAGCCTCTGTCGGAGGAAACTGGGAGGAGTGAGGGGCAGCACGCTGGCGCCCCTCGACACAGGGGACACAGGCAGGGCCAGGGCCCTGAGGAAGGGGGGGTAGAGACCGGGGAGACCAGACACAAGAAGACGGGAGGCCATGCCTCTGAGCCGAAGCAGAGAGGGGTGGCCAAGGCGGTGGTGCCAGAGGAGGGTCTCGTGAGACAGACAGCGACACGAACAGGGGGCAGACTCAGGACCAGACCTGGACACTGCAGCAAATAACTGACCAGACGAAGGGACTCTACCAGACTCAGCACCTGGAGGAGAAGCAGTGGTTAGTGTGTACACCCTAAAGAACAGTCCCTAGGATGGGACCTGCTCTGATACCATGTGGAAAAAGGAACGTGAAAATGAAATGACTATGAATGAAGTGAGTACATATAGGAAACCCTAGTTGGGTTGTACCCCTTATGGGATTCCCCACTATAGCCTACACAAATAAGTAAGCTATAATATTCTGACAAGAACATTCAACACGCCCAAAGCGCGCCCGATGTTCCATTCCAAGCGAATTCGCTGGTGGATGTGGCTGGCAAAATCGCGCGCGTCGGCTATTTTCGTGATTGTCTAAAAACAGTCAATATTGCCTCGCGCGCCCGATGTTCCATCCCAAGCGAATTCACTGGTGGAGAATACATCTGCACGGCACTGGTTGGGTCCAGACCGTAGGCCTTCACGTAGGAGGCTTTTCTATCATAGCAGAACGTTTATTGGCAAGGAAGCGTAAAGGCGCGTTTGCCGCCAACTATGGAAATTGTTGGCCCATATATGAGGGAGCAGCACAATTCAATTCAATTCAATTGTTGGTCCTTTCGATTATTTTCTCACCGGTAACTAAATTTCGCGCTGTGCTTTGTACGTCAGCATGTACATCCTGCCAAAAGTGCACCGTCGTTTTAGTACTTCTGCGGAAGGATGTCCGAAATGTCGAACTTATCTGCTATAGTCTGTTTAGGTTGTAGCGGGGTAGTCAATATGGGGTACAACACTTTAGGGTTTCCTATTTGTACTCCTCATGGTGCTCAATGCAATCATTCCTTCCTAGTTTCTTCACATGGTATAGAGCAGGTTCCCTAGTGGGAACGCTTCCTAGGGCCCAGCACGAAAATTTTTTTCCTGCCGGGAGCGCGCTTCACTTCTGCCCGAGTCGCGCCCCGTGTGCCCTCCCTACCGTCGCGTCCCTGGCCCCTAGCGGCTCGTCGCGCCCTCCTCAGGCCTAGCGGCCCCCTTTCACGGCCCTTCTTGGCCCCTCCCACGGCCCTGTCGCCGTCCTGCCGGACCCGTAGCCGACCTTTGCGGCCCCGTAGCCGACCCTAAGCGGCCCCGTCGCCGCCCTACATGCCCCGTCGCCGCCCTCAGCGGCCCCGTCGCCGCCCGAAGCGGCCCCGTTGCCACCCTGTCGGCCCCGTTGCTGACCCCTTGCGGCCCCTTCTCTGCCCTGTTGGCCCTGTCGCCGACCCTTGCGGCCCTGTCGCCGCCCTTGCGGCCCCGTCGCCGGCCCCTGCGGCCCTGTTGCCGGCCCCTGCGGCCTTGTCGCCGCCCTATCGGCCCCGTCGCCGCCCTCGCCGGCCCCGTCGCCGACCCTGCCGGCCCTGTCGCCGCCCTCAGTGGCCTCGACGCCGACCCTACCGGCCCCGTCGCTGCCCTCAGCGGCCCCGTCGCCGACCCTACCGGCCCCGTCGCCGCCCTCAGCGGCCCCGTCGCCGACCCTGCCGGCCCCGTTGCCGACCCTCGCGGCCCTGTAGCCGCCCTCAGTGGCCCCGTCGCCTCCCCACCGGCCCCGTTGCCGACCCTCGCGGCCCTGTCACCGCCCTCAGCGGCCCCGCCGCCTCCCTACCAGCCCCGTCGCCGACCCTGCCGGTCCTGTCGCCGCCCTCAGCGGCCCCCCCGCCACCCTACCGGCCTTGATGCCAACCCTCGCAGCCCCTTTCACGCCACCAACAGGCCAGCAGCCGAGGCGCTCAGCAGCAGAGCCGCCGAGCCGCCCAGCAGCCAAACCACCGAGCCACCCAGCCGCCGCGCCGCCGAGCCGTCCAGCAACCGGACCGCCGAGCAGCCGAGCCGCCGAGCCGCCCAGCAGCCGAGCTGCCGAGCCGCCCACCAGCGGAGCCGCCGGGCAGCCGAGCAGCCGAGCCGCTGAGCCGCCCAGCAGCCAAGCCGCCCTTCCTTCCGGCGCGCCCCGGCCCTACTTCCTTAGACTGGTGAGCTCCCTCCCTGATAGGCCACTGAAGTCATGGCTACCCCTAGTGTCCTTACCTTTGATACTGAGGGTCGTGCTGTTGACTTTGAGGTCTGGGTCGATGACCTCCAGCTGTTCTTACAGTGCGATAGGGCGGACTGACTCTCACTGTTCAATCTCACCTCTGGTGTCTCTCTTGCCCCGCCTGCTACTGCTGACAGCACTGTTCGCTCACAGTAGGCCATGCGCGATGCTGCTGTACGCCTTGCTGTGCATCGCGACTTACCAACCACTGAGCGTGCGCACTTTAGCCAGTACAAGATTGCTAAGACCTTGTACGACGCTGTAGTTGCACGCTACTCTTCCCCTGCCACTGCTGCTCTGAGCCGCATCATGCTACCGTACCTGTTCCCTAACCTTGCTGCCTTTCCCACTGTCGCTGACCTCATTACGCATCTTTGCACTAGTGACACTCGCTACCGCGCTGCGCTTCCCGCTGAGTTCTCTGCCAAGAACCCCCCTCCCCCCCCCATGTACATCACCCTCTACTACATAGTCACCCGACTCCCTGACTCCCTTCGCGTAGTCAGGGACCACTTCCTCACAGTGTGCCCCACCACTCTCACCATTGACCTCCTCGAGAAGGCCCTCCTAGCGATGGAGAAGAGCATAGTCGCTGTAGGAGCCTCTCGTGGTGACCCCCGCACCCCTATCTTTGAGGGGTGTTCTCCCTCCCCCCTCTTGCCCTCTGTTGCCTCTGGTGCTGCGGCCGACCTCGTTGGTTTTGAGTCGATCGGTGCTGCGTCTGCCCCTTCGGGGAGGCGCCGCACAGGCAAGGGCAAGGGGGGCAAGGGCGCTGGAGGAGTTGGCAGGGGCGGTGGAGGTGGCGGTGGAGGCGGCGGAGGGAGTGAGGATGGTGGTGGGAGTGGTGGAAGAGGTGGGGGTACCGGTGGCAGCAGTGGAGGCGGAGGAGGCGGCGGTGGTGGCGGAGGGAGCGGAGGCAGCGGTGGTGGAGGAGGCGGCGGAGGCGGCGGAGGCGGCGGAGGTGGCGGTGGAGCTGGTCCGCGGCTCTGCGCAGAGGAGTGGCTCCGGTGGCGGTTCGCGCCAGCACCAGCACCGCGGCCGTGAGACCCTGTCCCCTCAGCAGCTTCGTGAGTGGTACGCTGGGCGTCAGCGGGGTGGGGGTACTGGTCCCTGCACCTACGTTCTTCGTATAGGCGACCGCGCTGGTGAGCAGTGCGGTGGCTCGCACTCCACCCAGCGCTGCTTCGGCCGCCCGACGGATGCTTGGCGTCATCAGTTCCTGGCGACGAGTCACGGTAGTACGAGTAGCAGCAGCAATTTGAAGGATACGCCGCCGTGTCTTGTGATTTTTCGTCGAGGGGCCACCTTCTGCCTCCTCGCCGTTGCGACGGCGCTTTCGTTGCTGCTCCTTGCCTCCCCCGTGTGAAACGGTACGACAAACACGGTTGTACCGTCGCCAGACGACTCGGTTCGCGGGCTCCGTAGTGCGACCGGGTTGCGACAGCTCTTGGCGGCGGCGTCTTAGGGCGTATTCCTATCCTCCAATCAAGAAAACCTCCTATCAAGCTCTCACTGGAAAATTCCCTAAACCCAAAATCTCTCGCTACTTTTACCAGGCAAAAGGTACAATCTTGATAGGAGGTTTCTTGATAGGAGGCCATAGGAATACGCCCTTACAACAACAATGACGACTTAGCCCGCTGCCCTACCAATGCCGGCGCAGAGCCTCTGCGTTCAAACGACAAGACCGGTCGAGCCGCTGCCGGAGGCGAAACTGTGTTACTAAGCGCAAAGACGGTAAGTCGAAGCCGGCGGGGAATGATTCCTGAAACATCCCGGACTTGGCAAGACTCGGACTCGGAGTCATTGGTAGTCAAGCTCGGCAACTCGGTGGCGGAGAAGTCTCGGAGAACGAGCGCAAGTCTGAACTCAGAAATCCGTGACGTCGCTGGCAGTTCCAGTAAACTGATTTCCACGGTTTCTAGCGAGCCTGGCGGCAGCGCTGTGAAAGCTGTCCTGCATCAGTGGCCTCATGGTCCCGCTGCTACTACTAGATCTGCAACTAGTAGTACTATTAGCGTTACTACCACTAGTCACAATGGCGCAAGAAGTGGCGAGAGGGAGTGCATGCGACGCTCACGAAATGGTCATTGCGTGGCGGAGCTCTTCAGCCTCTACGACGATGCGTACCGGTACGTGCAGCCCATCATGCACCTCGCCGCTCATAGTCTCCTTCTCTCTTCCTTCCCTTTCCTTTTCTTTGCAATCTCAGATTTGGCAGGCTATCATCGAGAGGTGTTCATTTTCCTCGGTTTTGATCAATCTTCTGTGTCACACAGATTGTCTCGCTCAGATTTTTTCGCTCAGAGTAACTTCTCCGGCACAGATTATCTCGCTCAGAGTATCTTCTCCGGCACAGATTATCTCGCTGAGAGTATCTTCTCCGTCACAGATGATCTCGCTCAGTGTCCATCCACATGGCCTTTCTGCTGCTTTTTGTTGGCAGATCATTATGGCCTGGTCGCGTGGACCTCGTAATCCGCAGCCACGTGTCAAGCAACTTCTTCCTGCTCGAAATGCTCTTTGTCAACATCGAGCAGATGTGGCCACGTGGCATTGGTGACGTCATCCTCATCCTCGATGGCGACGAGCGATTGGCCGAGGACCTCATTCCCACGTGGATCAAAGTCTACTACGAGGAGAACCGCCTGAAGCTTCCAGGAAAGATCCTACAGCAGTGGAGCTACCTCTGGGCTGACAACTACACAACAGCCCCTTACGTGGCCTTGATAGATTATTACGTCATCTTCAACATGAAATTAACGCCCGGATTACTGTTCAACCTCACAAACGGCAAGCCGTACGTGATTGGCAGCGCGTGGCGACAGCTGGACCAGTGGTTACCCTCCACCAAGTTTTTCGTTGGCAAGGACAAGTACTTCGCCAATTTCATGGTGCAGTTGCCATTTGTGATGCCAACCAGCGTCCTGACAAACTTCAAGAGCCACGTGGCCAATCTGCACAAGAACAGGGGCGGCAGCTTCGACTCGGCTTTCAAGTGGTTCTCTGAGCATGGACCTCTTTGACGGACCCAAATCGCCCACACGACCATTGGAAACTACATGTGGGCGTATGCACATGATCAGGTGCACTGGGCCTTGGAATGGACCAATCACGCGCCGATCCCTTGAGTCGGCGTGCATCTTCCCTACACGCAGCCTTTCCTCACGAAGCACAAGTTCAACGGGCCACGTGTCATCAAGACATACGTCCAGGGGGCGGCTTATTACGCGCACGAGGGCGTGTGCCATGCGCTGCCTGCTGAAGAGCTCCCTGGGTGTGATGATGTGAACCCTTTCCCTCAGATCCAGATATGGCAGTATGCCATGGATTGGTTTGACTGGCCTGCTATTAATAAGATGGAGGCTAACGCTACTGTAGTGTATGATCAGTACCAGAGCGAGCTGGCGTGCATGTACTGGAAGACATCTCAGGGGGGGGCAGGTGGTGGAGGGGACCCAAGTGTGTTGGGAACGAATGTGTAGATTAGAGGGGCTGATCCTGCTGGGAGGAGAGAAGAGCTCTTGACATCTCTATAGGAGTGTATCGCCCCAAAGTCATAAAACCAAACAGCAGAGCTTGGTTGGGAAAATCAGTAAACCAATCATGTCATGGTGGAGCTTAACTTACAGCAGTTAATGGCTTGCATAATGTGGTTGGAGTTTTGTGCATAGGTCTGTCCATTTGGGAATAATTTGATCCCATTAGAGATTTAGAAACCTAGTGTAAGGAAGGCATTCCTTACGGAGCCCGACTACATCGCGTACAGCAACCGCCGTTGTTCGCCCGTTACTGCTAACGGGGCTTCGCCGACTTCGCGCGCACTGTTTCACCAAACCTTGCACTGCTGGCCTGCCCGTGTCGGCCTACGCCTCGGGACTAGCTCGAGCCTCGCTCCAGCATAGCACTAGCTAGCTCGCACACACCGCGTTACCGTTTGCATGTTTCGCATATAAATGTTCGCTCATGCCATCGCTCACATTTTGTACTCGTTTGACACCTTAGTGCAATCCTCGCTACTTTGATTCGTTGCACCCGTAACACTTGGTATTCAGAGCCCCTTTTTGCTGGACCGCGCATCTCCGCACCCCAGGAAATCAACTTTTGATTTTTCACTCGAAGAGACTCACGTACCTTAGCACCTAGGAGCCGCTGTCCTCGCGTTCTCTTGTAAACGCGTGCAGCCACGACTGCGCCTAGACTAAGACGAGCCGACGCCCTTCGAAATGGCTGAACACATCGACGTCACGACTCTCACGCAGGAACACTTGAACGATCTGCTGCGACAAATCCGCGAGAGCGCCGAGGAAATCGCGACGCTGATGGCAGAACGCTCGTCCCTGCAAAACGACCTCACACGAGCACAATCCCAAGCACCTGGCACTCCGATTCAGCCCGCACCACAAACATCATAGCACGGAAGTGTGGGGCAGCCCGCGAGCGCCGCAAGTGATGGCGTCGTCCGCCATGACGGAGACAACGACCACGGCACGACACACCCCGACGCAACGAATGCGGCTAGGGCTCAGCCTCAAGTCACGATTTCAGTGCCGGCCGGCGGATCAACTCTTCCGTCGCCGATGCCGCTAAAGCCGCAGCGTCCGCCATGCTTTGACCAAAGTCAGCGGGGTGGTCCTACCGTTCAGGCGTGGCTCTTCACGTTGAACGTTTTCTTCGACGCGAACTACGTCTCGGAGGATACGGCGAAGATTCGTTACGCCGTGTCGTTGCTCCGAGGACCCACCATGGACTGGTGGCGCGTCATCGTCACGAAGGCGGCAGACTACGCAACTCTACCGACAAGGAAAGGACAAACCGGACCTTGGGCGCCGTCGTATTTTGTGGAGGTGCCCCAGTATCGCACGTGGGATGCGTGGTGCGCAGGTCTGCGCGCTCGTTTCGAGCCAATCGCGGCTTCGATCGCGGCGCGACAGAAGCTCCGCACTTGGCGCCAACTCGGTTCCGTCCAAGATTACACGAACGATTTCTGGCGCTATGCGAGCAAGTGGGATATATGCACGAGAGCGAGCGCATTGACCGCTACATCGGCGGCCTGAAGCAGGACATCGCTCAGGAAATCTAGCTCCGCGGCGTCACCGACTTTCAAGAAATTCTCGCCATGGTGGAGAAACTTGATTTCTTCCGCCGACCAAGACCGGGGTCCTACGGAAGCAGCCATTGGGGACATCGGCCTTGTGGGACAAACGAGGGCGCCACGATACGTGCCGTCGCCACAAATGCCGCTGCCGCACCATTCAAAGGGCGTTGCTATGCGTGCAATCAGCCGGGACATCGCAAGAGCGAATGCCCGGTAAACGCTAAGGGAAAGGGGGAAGCTGAGCAGCACAATCAGACCAAGCAGCAGGGAAACGCTGGGAGTTAGTAGCAGACGGACTTGGCCAAATAAGGAGGGGACTACGGTAGACAGCCCCATACTGCTTAGTGGGAAAATCGGGACGGACTTAGTAAAAATCTTTGTAGATGTGGGAGCCAACCACAGCCTCATCAACACGGCCACAGCACGAAAACTAGACTGCCACTGGACAGATGTTTACCTGAGATCGACGCAAGACTGGTAGACGGCACGCCGCTGGCGATACGGGAACGCGTAGACCGGGTTCGGATTCGATGTGGGGGTAACTTCACGTTTAGCCGGGAAATGCTCGCAACGACCCTCGACGGAACCGATGTTTTACTCGGACGTGATTGGTTGCGACGACACAATCCGCGAATCGACTGGGCGACAGGTGGCTGCACTGTGCGAGTGAACGGTAACAACATCGCCTTACCTCGCTGGGGCTCACCTGAGTCTTCGTCGGTGCGTGTCAACGCGATCACGATGAAACGCGCTGTAGCGGCAGGAGCTGACGTGTACGCGGTCGACATTCGGGAAGCCGAGGCAGCAGACAAAGGAGGGGATTTACAGAAACTGCTGGCCGGCGTACCGAGTGACCTGACAGCACTGTTGAAGCAGTACAGCGACATTTTTCTGGACGATTTACCGACGGGACTGCCACCTCACCGACCGCACGACCACAGGATAGAGTTAGAACCGGGGGCACAGCCAACATTACAGCGACAGTTCCGACTGACCCAGCCCGAACTGGACGAACTGAGGAAGCAGCTTGATTACCTGTTCGAGAAGGAATTCATTCGCCCTAGTTCGTCGCCTTTCGCAGCACCGATACTGTTCACACCGAAAAAAGACGGGGGATTTCGCATGTGCATAGATTACAGAGCACTAAACAGGGTTACCATCAAATCCTGTTACCCCATCCCGCGAGCTGATGAACTGATCGACCAACTGCGCAGAGCCTGGGTTTTCTCCAAAATCGACCTCCGAGGGAGTTACCACCAGATTCGCGTCAATCCGCCCGACTGCCCTAAGACCACATTTCGCACACACTACGGATCCTTCGAATACACCGTCATGCCCTTCGGACTGACCAACGCCCCCGCCACTTTTCAAATGACCAAAAACGAAGCTTTCCGCCCGCTCTTAGATAAGTGCGTCATCGTATACATGGACGGCATACTGATCTACAGCCCTGACAGAGCACAGCATGTCAGAATGTTATACTCTAGCTTGTAGTGGGGTGCTCTATAGCGAGTACAACCCTTCTAGGGTTTGCTATTTGTATCCTCATTCTTGCTAGTGAACCCCTCTTTTGCCTAAACTATTCTTGCCTAGCTAGGGCTTTCCTAGCTATGGCTCCTAAGACTACTACTCATTCTCGTTTCAGTTTTCTCATGGAATCAGAGCTATGTGCTCCTGGCCTATGGGCCCCACTTCACTGCTTCTGTTGCTACTGCTACTCCCTGTCCGCCGCGCGCCCCGTGGTGCACGGCGTCGAGTTTATGGTTTTTCATCCCGCCGCGCGCTCGGAGCATGCGGCGGTTTTCTGCCCGCCGTGCTCCCCGAGGCGCGCGGTGGGTTTCTACCCCGTCACGCCGCGCGTCGCTCCCGGGAGGCGCTGCGACGGGCGACGGGGACCCGCGCGTCGCCCCCCGTCGTCCGTCGTGGCCTGCGCGCGGCCCGTACGGCCTGCGCGCGGCCCGTACGGGCTGCGCCAGGCCCGCGCGCGGCCCGTATGGGCTGCGCCAGGCCCGCGCGCGGCCCGTACGGGCTGCTTTAGGCCCGCGCGCGGCCCGTACGGGTGGCGCTAGGCCCGCGCGCGGCTCAGGCCGCCTGCACGCGGTTCGGGAGGCTGTCCCAGGCCCGTGGGCGGCCCGTTCCTTGCTGCCCCTGCCCTCCCCACTGTCCCCCGTACTTCTTATGGCACCCCACCCCTCCTACTGCCCGTTCTCCTGAATTAGGGTTTGGGGGTGGGGGGACAGGGGGTGCAGCTTCTGTGTGCCGTTCCCTGCTCCTCCTCCTCCTCCGTCTCCCAGTGCTGCAACTGCCGCTGAGGGGGGGTGAACCTGTTGGAGCCGTTGGAGTGGTACAGAGGGGAGGTGAAGGGGGAGTGGAGCTAGGGGTGTAGTAGCGGGTGTGTGTCAGGGGGGGTGGGACTGTTTGGGGAAGCTGAACGGAGATTGCCGTCGTATCGCGAGCAGCACCCGTAGTCCGGGGAGTTGCTCTGGTAGCCCAGTTCCAGCCACCTATGCTAGTCGCCCGTGGGTCCGTTGCTCGTCTGCCGCTACTTTAGCCGCGGGGCCAGTTACTCCGGTAGTCCGGAGCGTTGTTCCGGTAGCCGCTGTGCCAGTGTGCCTCCTATTGCCCGTGTGTTTGCAGCTTCAGCCGTCGCCTCCTATCTCCTCTCCTCTCACTGTCCTTCCTGTTATGTGATGCTATCATTTGCATTCACGTCTGTCTGCCTCCCATCATGTGTTCGTGCGTTGCATGTGTGAAATCAGCGTGCGCAAGAATTTGTGTTTTTCTGTGGTTTGGATTTTCTGAGTGTGTGTGAATGTTATTTGGCTTGAGCAGATATCTGAAGTGACTCCACTGCTCAAGATCTTTCCGACGAGCCAAGAATCGTCGCGATCGGAGCAATATCAAGAAAGTTACGAACGTTGGAGTTCGTATGCTTTCTGTACTTCGGTTGTGGCGACTATGGGAAGTTGTCGGGTTGACTCAATATGGGGTACAGACTTTTGGGGGTTGGGAATTCGAACCCATCACTGTAGAATGCTGCCATGTGGTTGGGTGAAGCCAAACCAGGTTGGCAAGTGTGGCCAAGTGGGTTGAGGTGGATGGCATGAGTTGGGAAAGTGACAAATGTGAAAGTGGGGTTGCCTATGGGGAAGGGAATTGTGTGGCATGGGGTTTCCTTGGTTGGGGAATCTCTTGGGACCTTCCCTCTCGTCCTCCTCTTCCCTCCTACCTGGTTTAGTGCTACCCTAACTCTCTTGTGTGTAACTTTGTGGAACTTGTGAGAACTATTTTTGTTATTGAGTTAAGCATGTGGCAGCATACCCCCTAGTGCGCCAAAATTGATAACTCGAGAAATACTCCACGTTATCACACGATTCAACTTGGGAA